AGCAACCAAAGCAATGAATAATAGGATGGACTTCATTTTTAAACTTTCAGACTTCTACAAAATCAAATAACTCGCATTTACCATACTGTATTAAACCATAACTGAAAGCACATTATATAGCGAGGCGGAAGTCATATAATTGACTATTTGCTACAGTGTATATCATCTAGTTTAACAACCAACTAAACTCAGCCTTCACCTAACTTACTTTTCAACTTTAGGACTTCCTTTTGTTTTCACTCCTACGAAAACGACGTGGTTATAAATCCAAGCTACTGACTCAACAAGAAGTTAACCGTGTTTTGGCCTACTCGAAACGTACCTTTCAAATGCCCAGCGAAGCAGTTTTCCTTTACTCAGAAGAACCGCCCCAGAGCCGGAAATCAAGGAAGTGGAGATATTGACATTATTTGTTGTCTCGCTAAAACTACATAAAACCCAGGGTTTGGTAAAATGCATGTCCTAAAAAGGTCTGGATGACTTGACAAATGTATGCTCAACCATTGACTCACCACGTGACTGTCAACAGGAAAAATAGGCAACAAAAATACTCAAAACATCAGCGGGAAAAAGAGGACAGACCAGGGGTGGATCCAGGCACTAATGCACAAACTTGCATTACAAAACAAAGTGGTTTATATTTTTAGCAGTTTTCTTGTGTCATGCAAATTAGTGCTCTAGTGCTGAATCCACCCAGGAACAAACGCTTGTCTCTGTCTCGCGCACGCAAATAAGACGTTTGTTAAAGAAATGTCGTATTACGTTTCTGACAATATTTATTTTGTGACAGCACAAAAGAAACGTCTACAACATCAGTAGCTTTAGACCACACGATATGAAGAGCTGGCTCTAAGTAAGTTTGATCTTGTAAGAATCGCCATCTTTGATATCATTTCTTGAAAAATTGTGCCAGTTTGCCCCCTTGGATGCCGTTTTCTCTTATCGGAACCGGCCTCAAAACAGCGCCTTTTCCACCTTAGAACATGAAATCTGTGTTAGATTAATATGTCACATGGTGTTTCACGTGATCATCAGTTACCACTGAACTATATATACTTATCATTATGTGAAAATGCTTGTTTTTGACCGCGAGATCTTACCCTGGGCACAGCACGCAAACGGGTACTCGTCAATATTATAGCCTGCTGGTCTCCATCCTGTGCGTGAGGCAGCAGTCTCGTGAGTTGCGGAGTCTAAATAATAATTATAACTAGGAGTTACTATCGCAAGGAGATTGCTGCCTTGGGAAAACAACTATATATTAGCTTGAAAAAAAACTTTATCTACAAGTGATATCAGTGATTAAGTCTAAACAGATAAACTTACAGCACTTCAAAACTTACTATTTACACTTATTTGATGAAGTCTGAAATATTTACATCTTAATAGTAACAAGCAATTAATACTGATAATAACTTTTTATTAATAAGGCATTAATAGTAACAAACACTATGTATGCAATACAGTGCCATACATAAGTGTTTGTGATTGACTTATTGGTGGGGGGAGGGGTTTACATTATGTTTTCTCAACTGGTATATTATTTATATGAAGAAGATTTGCAATGCTTTTCAAAAAAAAGTAAGAAATTTATATTAAAAGAAGAACAGGAAATGTCAACATAATCGTACAAAATGTCAAATGCACTATCAAATTTAAATGTCAATTTCAGCAGCACAGTAACATGTGCCATAAATAGTTATTTAATGTTACATGTCAATAACATCTATAAAAGGGTACACAAAACAAAACTAGAACATTTCTAATGTGATAATGGGGACTGTCGACACAGTAGAAAGACAAATGTCTTGGGGAACTATGTCTACCAAGGCTTTTACATTTGCACTATTAAGTCTATATTGTCAAGCCAAATCAGTTTCATTACACTGTTGTTTGCTTGTATACTCCCTCATATTTTTCATGATCATTTTCCTTTGAATGTTTAGCTTTTTTGTAATTCTCTATTTTTTCGGGGCCTTACACTCTGGATAAAATTCCCAGTTTTGGTTGAGGTGCAATTTTAAAAAAGAAGTTCTGTAAACTGAACAGGCACAATTTCAAACAAATTAGAATGCTATGCCTCAGAAAGAAATACAAATATTGCTCTAAATCTGAAATGTTTGCAAACTGCAATACTACTGCTGTACCATTAGGATTGGACATTTCAAAACAATTATGTACATGAGAACAGTGCCGTAGCCAGCCCGACGATTTTGTCCTGCTATGTAAATTTCGAGTTATTATAATTATTCATGTCTTTAGAAATTTATTGTTTTAACACTCAGTGAACACCAAAATATTAGCATAGCGGGACAAATCGACAGGCTGACTACGCTACTGCATGAGAATCAAACAGATAGAAACACTCCATAATATTTTTCGTTTTTTTTAAACGATTTTCGTCGCCCCCCTTCGGGCACTACTTGAAAACACGATAGAAAATTAGGATGAATTATAGAAAGTCTAAATTCACTTGTTTTCACTTTCACAAACCTGCAGTTTTCGAGCATTTCTTCTTCGAAGAGTCAGTAAATTTGCATGTTTCACTCAGTGAACTGGTTTCACTATAATGCATCGACGCCATTTTGATTCAGGAAATGTTGAGAATACTTGGTGTAATATACGACAAAATATTTATACGACATATATAGCAGATTCAGTTTTATACCGGTATTTAAATGAAGTTTCGAACATTTTTGCTGTGCAAGCAGGTTTCAATAAGGAAGCTTTGAGTGGAGTTTTACGAGGTTTTTCGCAAATTTTCACAGTTTTTCCTAACTAAATTAGTCAGAGAAGACTTAGACAACAAGTAATCGGAAAAAATCCGACAAGTTGCGATTTTTTATAGCATTTGGCTCTTGGAATTTACAAATAAATTAGAACTTTATTTACACGCATCAAAATCATCGACGAGCGTTTTGTTTCTAGTCAAGTTATATAAAATAATTACTACACAATTCCTTTCCAGCATAACCTTTGTTTTATATTAACTACTTTTATAATACACACGTTTTCTCAACAAAACTATTTACAACATCTCAGTTTTTTGACAAAATTAATTACCAACGCCTTTATCTTATTATCATCAATCTACTAAAAACGAATTTGTTGAGCGAAGACCCAGACATCTTTACGAAGTTGAAACAGAACAAACTGCAGACATTTTCCTTATGAAAACTTGAGAGGACTTGCCAACGCCAACATCTATTTAATACGTGATTTGCAACGTACAACTACTGTAAAAGTTAAAATATTAAACACGCATTCCTAAGTTAATACCAAGCTAATACCACAACTCATCATCGACGTCATCTCCGAAATCCAGATTAGATTCTGATCCTTCAAGTTCATCATCGTCATCAGATCGAGGCAGGCCATAACTGCTATCATCCTCATTACCATCTTCAACTACTGCATTCTGGCAATCACCACACGAACATAGGTCGGTGCACTGTAAGTCAGCCTTTTTGCAGGAAAAACGCATGGTCGAGCATCCAGTCTTGCACTTGCACTCAACACACTCAATTAAAGATCGCTGATTGGTTCTTTGCCGGTCTGGAATCCCCCAGTATTAGACCGTTGCCGTAGTAAAGGTCCAACTCTCATACCGTAAACCTCCGACTATAAGCCCCCCAAAATATAAGCACTCCCGTCTATAAGCCTATCACATTATTAACATTCACGTCATTCCAAATATAAGCCCCCCCCGAATATAAGCCCACTATACAGGTCGAGATACAGGTATATATTAAATACTCTTGCACTAAAACAATTCCCTATAGCAGTAACTTAGCAAAAACATTCAAGCAGTGTGTATTTTAATGTTTTAATTTTACAAAACATGTTCGTCCTGGTTTCAAAGCGGCACGGACGAATCTTTTGTGCAGCTTAACATGTTAATGTTTGTTTATCTATAATTCTTGTTTATTTTCGTGTTTATACCTTAACAATAAATACGGTACTTGGTTTATATAAACCCGAAATGTTGTCCATGTATAAGCCTTCCCGTATATAAGCCCTCCCGTGTATAAGCCCATCAAAAAACGCTTACGAACTTATATAAGCCCAGGGCTTATAGTCGGAGGTTTACGGTATTTTTGAACAAAAACAAGCTTGTACTTTTATTTTTGACACGAAAAATATCGACGGAGAATGAACGAAGAAAAGCATTATTTGGTACAAATGAATATTATATTTATTCATCTTTGATTTTTGTTTATATTATTGTATCATTCTTATCAGTACACTGGCGGTCAAAAGGAACTGCTCTAAACAAGTTAAAATGCTCTCAAATGAAGATAACTGACATTCTAACAATATATACGAGTAAATATAGACACATTACATGCTAAGCTATATGAAATATTAATATTTTGTTGACCCTCCTTTGGCCTTATAATTGATGACGGCCTTACACCGGCGTGGCATACTTTCTGTTAAGGTGGTAATCTTCACGGTCAACTGAGAAATTCATCCTATGGACAGTCTTTACAGCAACGTATAAATCATGGACGCTTTATGAATGAATTCCTTTCTTGCACTATCCCCTTGACATTGTCCCATAGATTTTCAATAGGGTTAAGTCTTTTGACTGTGCAGGCCAATCCATTTCTGTCACTCCTTCTTCCTGAAACCATTGTTTGACTATATCTTGGAAGTGTGGCAGGTTGCATTACATTATTGAAATATTGTTTGGAATAAGAGAATTATACAAAATGCCTATGAAGCTCTCTCCTATATTCGCTTCTTTTTTATGAATTTGTATCGAAACAGTTCTTTTTGACCGCTAGTGTACAATAAAAGATTGATTGTTACGATTCCTGTTACATACGACAATAGCAACATTTGAGCAGTTCTTTTTGACCGCTAATGTATAACGAGCAAAAAACAAAGTTTTGGAAGCCACTTCAGTTCTTGCTTGGCGACTGGCTGGCGAAAGAGCCGGCAAGAATGCTGCAGCGCATTGTATAAATAAATAAACTAATATTTTTCTAGTACGGACCTCAAATTCGGTTTTAATAAGTGGTATGTATAATTATTAGTCATTTTGAGAAACAGTGCAAAGAACTGACGTCAAAATCAGCCGTCATTTATGGACCTAGTGCAACTTTGTAACAACCACCATTCCCGATCTTCTGCTTCCGATAAAAACCGCCCAGAAATCCACCCAGAATCTTAATTTCTTTTGAAGGAACTCTCACTATAACAGCACCCTCTCCACCTTTGAAAATAAAGATTCGTATTTAAATATAAGGAACTTCAACCGCGGGTTTTCAGAACTCTGAGAAAATGATAATGCGATGATAATGAAGACCAGAACAATTTGTGTTTATTGTGTGACCACGCAATAAAGCCTCTTACAGACGAGCAAGTTTTCTATGACAAGTTTTTATATGACAAGTTTTAATTGGCAATTGTACGTGTGTATGTACAACAAATTTTCTATGACAAGTTTTTGTGAGACAAGTTTTATTTGTTCGTGTTAACGTGCCAACAATGACAATTTAGTTTGCAGCCAGCGATGTAATCGTACAGCGGACAACGTGAACGCGCCAATGCAAATTACTATAGTCCGCTGGCCAACTGCATAAAAGTGCTCACATTATGTGACAAGTTTTCTTTGTTGAATGATACAGACGAGCAAAATTTGTACTTTGACAATTTTTTCGATGACAAGTACACTTTTTCAAAATCAAGTATACTTAATTTTGAACAAGTGTACTTGTCATAGAAAAAATTGTCAAAGTTGGGCGTACATACGAAGAATTAAAACTTGTAACATCATAGGTAGCCGAGAATTGATATTTTATACAACAATATTATAATAATATCAATATTGATATATCAATATATAATACAGTAATTAATACAGACAGTAGAAGCTGACCGCGCGCGTAAGCAATGTAGTCGAAGACTGAGTAGAAACAGATATCTGGGCTACCTATGGTAACATCCAAACTTGTCACAGAAAACTTGCTCGTCTGTAAGAGGCTTAAGAGGCTTTAACATGGATGATTACTCGCTTGGAGACGGTTCTAAATGCCCGCTAGTATAGCTGGGTAATAAACTAAAACAAACCTTGCATGCTTGATGCAAACGGATATCCGTGACAACTTTCTCCCCGTACTTTTTTCAATTTTGGACAACCGGAGTCTCTTCTGTTCTGTGCTATTTCGTTCGGATCTGTGATGCGGGTTAACATTGTAGGTCTTCCCATTGAGATGGCGTTTCGCATATTATTGCAGACGTTTGGGATACGAGAACAGGGAAAGGTGATGGTCGGACACCATAGAGATTCTTTAAGAAATAAGAAATAACTTCAGTAAAGTTGTTGTGAAAGTTGTTGTGTTTCATCCCGTAAGTTTTTCACAGGAAATATTCGTATATGTAATAGTTAGCGATTAGGTTAGTTTTAATTTAAGCCGATTTTGAGACAAAAGTCAATGGTCACGTGAGGGGTAGTGTCGCAGCTCCTCGCAAGAATGATTTTCATTGGCTGAACTTTACAATACATTTCTGTTTCAACCAATAGCATAGCTTCGTTCTTTAGACAGCATAGAAAAGCATTATCCAATTGGACGAAAGCTTCCGAGAGCTGCGACATACATGAGTACGTATCGTATTTAGCTATATTTGCGTCATTTATAAGAAAGTTTGTTTGGCGGAAAATTATTGAAAAGATTGATTAATTACGTTACTTCGTGGCAAGAATCACATTTATAATTATTAGTCATTTTGAGAAACATCAGTGCAAAGAATTGACGTCAAAATTAGCCGTCATTTATGGACCTAGTGCAACTCTGTAACAGTCACGATTCCCGATCTGCTGCTTCACATAAAAATCGTCCAGTAATTCACCCAGAATCTCGTTTTCTCTTGAAGGAACTCTCACTATAACAGCACCCTCTCCACCTTTGAAAATAAAGATTCGTATTTAAATATAAGGAACTTCAACCGCGGGTTTTCAACTCTGAGAAAATGATAATGCGATGATAATGAAGACCAGAACAATTTGTGTTTATTGCGTGACCATTCAGTAAAGCCTCTTACAGATGAGCAAGTTTTCTATGACAAGTTTTTCTATGACAAGTTTTTCTATGACAAGTTTTTATATGACAAGTTTTTATATGACAAGTTTCTATATGACAAGTTTCTATATGACAAGTTTCTATATGACAAGTTTCTATATGACAAGTTTCTATATGACAAGTTTTTCTATGACAAGTTTTTCTATGACAAGTTTTTATATGATAAGTTTTTATATGACAAGTTTTTATATGACAAGTTTCTATATGACAAGTTTTTATATGACAAGTTTCTATATGACAAGTTTCTATATGACAAGTTTTAATTGGCAATTGTACGTGTGTATGTACAACAAATTTTCTATGACAAGTTTTTGTGAGACAAGTTTTATTTGTTCGTGTTAACGTGCCAACAATGACAATTTAGTTTGCAGCCAGCGATGTAATCGTACAGCGGACAACGTGAACGCGCCAATGCAAATTACTATAGTCCGCTGGCCAACTGTATACAAGTGCTCACATTATGTGACAAGTTTTGGTAACATACTATGTTACTATGGTAACATAAAAACGTGTCACAGACAACTTGCTCGTCTGTAAGAGGCTTTAACATGGATGATTACTCGACTTGGAGACGGTTCTAAATGCCCGCTAGTATAGCTGGGTAATAAACTAAGACAAACCTTGCATGCTTGATGCAAACGGATATCCGTGACAACTTTCTCCCGGTACTGTTTCCAAATTTGTCGGACAACTGGAGTCTCTTCTGTTCTTTGCTATTCTGTTCGGATCTGTGATGCGGGTTAACAATGTAGGTCTTCCCATTGAGATGGCGTTTCGCATATTATTGCAGACGTTTGGGATACGAGAACAGGGAAATATGATAGTGGGACACCGTGCAGATTCTTTAAGAAATAAGAAATAACTTCAGTAAAGTTGTTGTGAAAGTTGTTGTGTTTCATCCCGTAAGTTTTTCACAGGCAATATTCGTATATGTAATAGTTAGCGATTAGGTTAGTTTTAATTTAAGCCGATTTTGAGACAAAAGTCAGTGGTCACGTGAGGGGTAGTGTCGCAGCTCCTCGCAAGAATGATTTTCATTGGCTGAACTTTACAATACATTTCTGTTTCAACCAATAGCATAGCTTCGTTCTTTAGAAAGCATAGAAAAGCATTATCCAATTGGACGAAAGCTTCCGAGAGCTGCGACATACATGAGTACGTATCGTATTTAGCTATATTTGTGTCATTTATAAGAAAGTTTGTTTGGCGGAAAATTATTGAAAAGATTGATTAATTACGTTACTTCGTGGCAAGAATCACATTTATAGTTAGTCATTTTGAGAAATAGTCAGAATTAGCCGTCATTTATGGACCTAGTGCAACTCTGTAACAGTCACCATTCCCGATCTTCTGCGTCCGATAAAAAGCGGCCAGTAATCCACCCTGACAGCTGTTTTCTATTGAAGGAACATTCATGATCTCAGCACCCGCTCCACCTTTGAAAATAAAGATTCGTATTTAAATATAAGGAACTTGAATCCCGGATTTTCAGAAACTGAGACTTAAGCCATATACGTCGTATTTTGAGACAATATATGATTGATTTGTACAAAATATATAGATTCATAGGCAATCATAGCATCAGAATGTCGACGTTAGCATTTAGGCAGTTCTTCTCAAAGACAGGTCATAACATGGACGATAACTCGACTTTGATACGGTTTTAAATGCCCGCTAGTATAGCTGGGTAATAAACTGTTACTAACCTTGCCTGCTTGATGCAAACGGATATTCGTCACAATTTTGTCCCGGTACTTTTGGCAATCTTGGACAACCGGAGTTTCTTCTGTTCTGTTCCATTTTCGTCCGGTCTGTGATGCGGTTTAACGTTGTAGGTCTTCCCTTTGAAATGGCGTTTTGCATATTTTTGCAGACGTTTGGGATAAGAGAACAGGGAAATGTGATACGGGGACATGCTTTAAGAAATAAGAAATAACTTAAAGTTGTTGTGAAACTTATTGTGTTTCATCCCGTTCAACGAGTCTATAAACAAATATCAAAACTAAAATTTTCATCTTGTGTGTCCGAGTCTGCTCCCAAAATCTCGTACACATCTGCTCAGTACTTCAACTCGGTGATAAGATAAAGTTGAAGTAATTTCGTTCATGTTTCACTGCAAGAGAATACTCATGCACACAGAAATACTAAAGGTATATCCACGCATACAGTAAAATGAAACAAAAATTGCATAGTAGTCAATACACACCATCAGACTTCGCCATTAAAGTCGAAATGAAAGCAACCAAACCAATGAATAATAGGATGGACTTCATTTTTAAACTTTCAGATTCTACAAAATAAAATAATTCGCATTTATACCATACTGTATTAAACCATAACTGCATGAAAGCACATTATATATAGCGAGGCGAAAGCCAGTTCTAAGAATATCATTGACTATTTGCTACAGTCTATATCATCTTGTTTGCCAACCTACTAACTCAGCCTTCAGATATCTTACTTTTTAACTTCAAGACTTCCTTTTGTTTTCACTCCTACGAAAACGACGTGGTTATAGATCCAAGCTGCTGACTCAACAAGAAGTTAACCGCGTAGTTTAGCCTACTCGAAACGTACCTTTCAAATGTCCACCGAAGCAGTTTTCATTTACTTAGAAGTACCGCCCCAAAGCCGGAAATCAAGAAAGTGGAGATATTGACATTATTTGTTGTCTCGCTAAAACCCAGGGTTTGGTAAAATACATGTCCTAATAAGGTCTGGATGACTTGACAAATGTTTGGTCAACCATTGACTCACCACGCGACTGTCAACAGTAAAAATAGGCAACAAAAATACCTAAAACATCAGCGGAAAAAAGAGAACAAACGACAGGTGGATCCAGCACAAATTTGCATTACAAAACAAAGTGATTTTAATATATTTTAGCAGTTTTCTTGTGTCATGCAAATTAATTAGTGCTGGATAAGACGCTCACGCAAATAAGACGTTTGTTAAAGAAATGTCGTATTACGTTTCTGACAATATTTATTTTGTGACAGCACAAAAGAAACGTCTACAACACCAGTAGGTATAGACCACACGATATGAAGAACTGAATCTAGCAACTGACTACTCATCCTTGTCCCAAATAAGTTCGATGTCGTAAGAATCGCCATTTTTGATATCATATTTCTTGTAAAATTGTGCCAGTAGGCCATCTTGGATGTCGTGTTCAGTTATCGGAACCACGCTCATAACAGCACCTTTTCCACCTTAGAAAATGAAATCTGTGTTAGATTAATATGTCACATGTGTTTCACGTGCTCATCAGTTACCACTGAACTATATATACTTATCATTACTGTTAAAATGCTTGTTTTGACCGCGATATCTTACCCTGGGCACTGGATGCAAACGGGTACTCGTCAGTATTATAGCCAATTGGTGTCGTTCCATACGTGGTGTACCCAGCATCCACTCTGTTTTTCCAGATTAGGGCCTTGTCTGTAATGCGGGTCAAAGTTGAAGGTTTTCCCATGAAATTAATAGCGTAGTACATGTTATCATAGACGGCAGGAAGTGAAGTGCGATACAGTTTGAAAACCGGGCGTGTGGCAGCACGCTTCTCTGATGATTCCTTGTTACTAGGTCCTTCATGTTTCACTGCAAGAGAATACTCGTGCACACAGGAATACTAATAAAGGTATCATCCATGCATACAGAATACAGTAAAATGAAACAAAATTGCACTGTAGTCAGTACCCACCATCAGACTTCGCCATTAAAGTCGGAATGAAAGCAACCAAAGCAATGAATAAAAGGATGGACTTCATTTTTAAACTTTCAAACTTCTACAAAATCAAATAACTCGCATTTACCATACTGTATTAAACCATAACTGAAATTAAGCACATTATATAGCGAGGCGGAAGTCATATAATTGACTATTTGCTACCCTACAGTCTATATCATCTAGTTTGTCAACCTACTAAACTCAGCCTTCAGATATCTTACTTTTCAACTTCAAGACTTCCTTTTGTTTTCACTCCTACGAAATACGCCGTCAGTGGTTATAGATCCAAGCTACTGAATCAAGAAGAAGTTAACCGCCTTTTAAGACCGTTTTCCACTTCAACAGTATCGTAGCGAAACGTAGCGTATCTTATTGTTTTAAAGTCATTCGTTCTGGTCGAATACTTCGGAAACAAAGAAATACGCTACGTTACGTTACGATACGGTTGAAGTGGAAAACAAGCCTTAGCCTACTCAAAACGTACCTTCAGTCAAATGCCCAGCGAAGCAGTTTTCCTTTTTTCAGAAGAACCGCCCGAGAGCCGGAAATCAAGGAAGTGGAGATATTGACATTATTTGTTGTCTCGCTAAAATCCAGGGTTTGGTAAATGCATGTCCCAATAAGGTCTGGATGACTAAACAAATGTTTGGTCAACCATTGACTCACGGGTCTGGACATTCCTTATTAATTTCTTTTCTCGCATTTTCAATTGTCTTCATACAATTTGACTGGTCGTTACTGCCATAACAGGGAGAGAAATATGAATACAGGAATATCGCGTCAGGACAGTTGCCTTTCGAATTTTGCTTGTACGACTGCAACATTTTCTCCAGCGCCAGAGCAAGAAGAAAATATTCTGAATGACCTGCATTACTTACGGGTTTGTGTAGATTTTGATCAAAACCAGCAGTCGCTACATTAGGATGCTGATTTTTACAATATTTTTCAAGGAGAGTCTTTGTCGGCCATATTGGATCTTTTTTTCCTTTCCAATTTGCTATAGAATCTTTTATGATGTTTGCATTTTCATTCATGCCAGTACACAAGTTCTGAACATCGTATACAACTAAGTTCTTGTTCTTCTGGACTATCAAATTCGTGTTCTGGACTTTCGGCACCTGGTGAAGATAAAGAACACAAAACTGTGGCCCGGGTGGAAATGCGCCGCGAAAGTCGTCGCGAAGGGTCGTCAGTATAGCTGTCTCGTCTTCAAACACCGCAGAGGAAAAAGACAGGATGAGAACAAGACCAATGAACCGTCTGATTTGCATCTTCCTGAAGCTTAACAAAAAGAAAAACATAATCACAGATAACAAAAATGAAATTAAAAACATTAGAAAAAATTCTCTTTTCAACCAGAAGAGGTTTGCATGAAGAACAGTATACTGGAAAATTTCATTTCTAAATTCTTAACCAGGGCCGTAGCTAGAAGCTTAATTGGGGGGGTGCATATTCATATATTCGTCATATGTCCGAATGATTTCTTTTGTATGCTATTGTTCCTATGGTATATAAACATGAATATATGAATATACACCCCCCAATTAAGTGCTCTAGCTACGGCCCTGTTCTTAACCTGGGTAAAGCTAACCGCAGCTCTTTAAAAGCCAATCCCTGGTGTCAAAACGTAAACTAAAACACTGCAACTATACTATATAATGAATAACTTCGCAGTTCGTGTGTGAGATCTTTACATGCGGATGAATACTTTGAATAGAATAAAAACGAACGATGAAAAAGATAAATATATAATTGCATGTTCAATACATCAGTTCTCCACACCTGCTTTCATGTGTCATGTGTCATACGTATGAAGAATTATCACACGGTGTTAATTGTACTAATTTCACACGTTAACGATTTCATTGTTTTCAATGACACTTTAAACACTTTTTTGCGGGTTCTTTATTGTCCATTATCTTGCCATAATCTTGTATGGTTGACAAAATGTCTTCTAAACCATGAAATCGTTACTTTTAAACTGACGACCGTTGCTGCTTCTGTGTTTTCTCACAAAAATATAACATTTCCGTGAGTATTTTAAGTATATTTTCTACACTATTTATTAACAGGCGATATTCGTGTGTATATATGAAGTAGTTCACGTCAGTAAACCCAGGTTTTGAGAGAAATTTCGGCCCCTTAAAATCACTTGAAGTTATTCAAAAACTCAATACCCACATCATGCATCACCAGGGGCGAAATTACCAGAGGTGTGAGCATCGCGGGGATCGTATCTGTGGGGGGGGGCTTGGGGTTACACCCCTAATGCGTAATTCGCAAGCGATTTTGAGAAACATCAGTGCAAAGAACTGGCGACAAAGTCAGCCGTCATTTATGGACCTAGTGCAACTTTGTAACAACCACCTTTCCCAATCTTCTGCTTTCGATAAAAACCGGCCAGTAATCCACCCTGAATGCTGTAGTCTGACTCTACAGACATTTGTTTGTTATTTTTAGTGATGAAAATCACAGTAGTTATCTACAACAAAAGAAAAAGAGAAGAAAGATTGAACTTCAATATTCCCCGAAAATACAACAAAATCAACGAAGATAAACAATAAAAACTTGTGAAATAAATACATACAATTTAGGCCCAAAGTGTACCGGCGAATCAAGCGGCTATACTAAACACAAAATTAACAAGACATTTTAGCAAACTAAGCCGTTCAGTCACTTATATTGAGTTTCTTTTTGAGAATGACGATTATTTTGACGTTAAAAACCAACAAGGATTGTTTCAAAACACTAAAAGAATATCAAAACACTAAGATTTCTCGCTAAAAATACTTAAAAAACGTTCAGTCGTTTAAATCTTGTTATTTCCAAGCGTGTGCCTTATTAGTCGTTTTCTATGCATATACTTGTTAAGGACCGCCCCCCGAGACCAGGAAAAGCTTAAATACGTTAAATTTATCTTCGCTCTCAGGGCTAGTCACTGTAGCTGATTCGTCTATGACGCTAGGCTTGTGGCGATGCATACTCTGTTTCTCACTGAGACGTAACGGTTAGGTGCACATACATCATGGTCTGGGGGCCGTAGTGCATCTCCCCCTTAGACGGCCGTTAAGATGTGAGTTATGGGGGGAGTTCTTCCTATAGCAACCGCCTTGCACCTTTCGTAGTTGTAACTATGCTGAATATTGCAGCCGGTTGTATAACCAGGTTAGATTGTGGCATAGGCTGGATGATCTCTTTTGGGTGTTTTTCCCCAAATTTTTTTTTTCGGCACGCTTTCCAAATTTTTGTTTTACATACAAAAAAAATACTGTTATTAAACATATATGGAACGGATATGGTTCGAAAAAAATTCATATCGACTAAAAACCACCTTAATTAACCCCTGAATACTCTCCCCAGTCTCTGCATGGCTTAGTTTCTGAATTAAACAATAGTACAATACCAGAAATCATTCATAAACATCAAACATCTTCATCAACCTTACAGCAGTAAAACAGCGACAAAGACATTCAGACAGTCAACTCTGTGTTCTCGTCAGTGCCTTCAGCCCGAGAACTGTCAATCAAAAGTCTGGATAAATCCCCTGGCTTTCCCTGCGAGTTTTCAAATTCATATTTCAAAATGTCTGACATTGAAAACAACTCAAGATTTTCTACTAATTGTGGACTTAGTTTATTCATTAATACTGATCCATGAGATAGTTTGAACGAAGACTCCACCATTGTTGAGTATACCAGTGCAGTATGGTAATCCAGGTTATATCCCAATGATAGACCATACTCTTGATGAATCAGCCTGAATTATTCTGTAGCTAAATTTTCATTCAACAACAAGAAACACGGGATATTTATGGCCGTTTTAAGAGCACATTCAATTGTTATTCCCAATTTATTGCATATAAAATCCAACTTTGATTTAATTTCAAATACATAACTTCAAGGTGTGGGACAGCACTTGTAGAGAAAGTGGACAAACCTACTGCGACCATTCTATTCCTCGCCGCAATGAATCGGACCACGCAGGTATTATACACTGAAGCCAGAGTTAGCCAAACTTAACATCAGCGCACGGGGGCTGCTTTTCAACATCTCTCCGCTTAATGAAGGCTCGTCGAGACAATT